AGAGGCCAGAGGCACCCAGCTCAGCACCAGCCATGTCTTGCCTGTCTCCCCCTGCCCCCGGGGCCGAGCACCCCTCCCACCGCAGGTGCAGCCTCCTCTGCCCTCGCTCCATGACCCCTCACTCTCTGCACCTCTCACTGCAGGGTCTGGGCTACTCGCTCCAGATACACAACCCAGGGCTTTACAGCTTCAGCCTGCTCAGAGGCCAGAGGCACCCAGCTCAGCACCAGCCATGTCTTGCCTGTCTCCCCCTGCCCCCGGGGCCGAGCACCCCTCCCACCGCAGGTGCAGCCTCCTCTGCCCTCGCTCCATGACCCCTCACTCTCTGCACCTCTCACTGCAGGGTCTGGGCTACTCGCTCCAGATACACAACCCAGGGCTTTACAGCTTCAGCCTGCTCTCCCCTGGGCCCCACCGGCCCTCTAACAGCACCCTGCAACATGGCAACCCCCTGCCTCCACGGGGCAGGGGCCACTAGCCATACAGCACCCCCCTTCCCGTCTATTGCCCCCCTGCTCTGGCCTGAGGCACCTCGGCCCCGCAGGCTCTCCTACCCGGCCGCGGGTCATGCACAAGGAGAGGGGGGCCCATTGCGTGTATCTGGGTAAGGGGGGGCAGTGCCCACCCCCCACACTAGACAGACCCCACCCGTGACGGTGCTCAGAGCTCCCCAGGAAAGCCCCCCTTAGCTCAGTCTGCGGGGGGGGCCTGTTTCCTCACCGTGACGGCACACACGGGGCTGTCGTGGCCAAGGCAGGCTGCCTCGGGGGCCTCCGATCACTAACATGCTGGGGCAGCCCAGGAAGGGTTTAGCAAGGGAGAGACCAGGGTGATGCCTAAGACTGGGCCGAAAAGCAACAAGCTCAGAGCTGCAAGGGACGTGTAACCAGCCTGCTCAGGGCTCCGACCAGCCCTTCAGAGACCCGGGGTGAGCAGCTGCCCCCGCCCGGCTCAGCACCCCCCCTCGTGCTGGCGGGGGGCGGAGCCCGGTTCCATTCGTCTGTAAGAAATGGCTGCGCTTTGCAAGGGGAGATGGGAGTGAACCAGTCCAACGGGCGTGAGGGGCATGGACCCTTGGGATGCTTAGACAAGGACGCGTCCTGGCGCAAGGCCTGACCCCTCCCGTCTCGCCGCGCTCCCATGGAGGTGGGGGTGGGCGTGTGGCGAGGCCAGACAGACGCGTCTGCCCCCGGGCGCAGGGAGCACTACGGAGAAGGGGGCAGGCTGCTGGCTAAAGCGGGTCCAGGGAGCCACCGCGACAGCGACGGGGTACAAGGAAAACCAGCCGGGGCCGAGGGCAGGTCTATTTCTGCTCCTGCTTGTGCTGCTGGTACTTCCGGTAGTGGGTCTGGATGGTGACGGCCGCCCGCTCAGCCGGGTCACACGTGCACTTGCTCTCGCGGCTCGGCTCGGG